TGTGTTATCTTTGCCGGTCGATAGAAGTGACGATTTCCGAGTTCCGCACTGTCGCGGATGTTTATCCTAGATTAATAGTTGAATGACTGCAATCTCGAGAGCTTTCAGACCGATGAATCATTAAGATGTCGTGAATAATTAGGATACAAATAGGTAAGTGATCAACAAATAGTTTGGAATGAGAAAAATTAAAATGCTGGAACCTCCAGAGATTTGGAATTGAAATTGCTTTTAATTTTTTTGGGACAAAATAGCTTTAATACTGAAAATGCTTAAATTCATTTAAATGTGAAATAAACAGCATTTAAAAGCTGCTGTAATCTTGTTATTTTTACTAAAGCTGACTGAAAATTGAATCAGAAATGAATTTTTTATTATAACGACTTCTAGAATATATTTAACCTGTCAACTGTTATCCAAACAAGTCTCAGATCCGCATTGAAATGTTATCTAATAAAACGCTCTTCTCCTATTTTGTTTTTTTCCTTGAAAAATAGTTTATGTGAGTCGGTTCCAGTTACAAAAACAAATATGTATGTAAATTGGTCGCCAACAAACTTGAAGATTTTCCTAAATGTCATCATATTTCTTACTTTATTTATTCTTACTGTAAAATTAATTTTGAGTCAATTACGTACATGGCGTATGCGAAATGCAAAACTTGGAAATTTTCTGCGCTTTCCCCAGAGAACCGACTTTTCTTTTACAATAAGAAGCATTCAAATATGAAAAAAGACTGCTTCTCTGCAGTCCAATAAATTTAATTTAAAATTACCCAACAGACGTTCCTTTTTATGTTTTTTCGAGTAAAATATTCAAATGCGTATTCGTGTTATTTCGCCAAGGATTTTCTACAAACAAGAACGGCTTGATACTTGAGCTAATTTACATCAAACGGAACAATTCTTCTCAAAGAATTATTTATGCTACGATAGTGTTTGACGTAATTTTGTTTGAAGAGTAAATATATAAGAGGATGCTTGTAATGAAACCCAAATTTCTCTCATAGCGAGTTTTATAAAACGAATGAAATGTTTACCAGATGATGAATAACATCTATCTTCTTTATATTTAGTCAGACCGTTGATCGTCTCGAATATTGTATTTCGACGTCGTGAAAGTTTGATTAAACCACTTTCAACTTTGACTCTGTTTATGGACGAGATACTGAACTTTTATTAAAAATATTGTAGCCTTCTAAGTTAGTTTTGTAATAAAAACTGAAATGAAACCTGAAAAAATCCATTTTAGCTTTTAAGTCTGAAGGAAATTTTACAAGTTGATTTGAATGCATTTCAAAGTACATTTGATCAAGTTATTGATTCCGCTGAAAGCTTTCCAAATTGCATTAAGATCTGACCTCTTTGGAGGCTCTCGTAAAACTGAAAGGGTGCATTAGAAGAACCGACGAGTGACTCTAAAACAATTTACATTAATTTATTGAAATTATATGGGTTATCACAAAGAGACGCGAACCTTCTATTCGAGACGATTCACAATCTGAAAAGGTAATTTCTGGAGTAATTCAATTTTTTATCGTCTATTTTTGCACTGGCGGACTGGCAAATTGGATGAGACTTGAAATGAAAAGATCGGTGTATGTGGAGAGTGGCAAATGATGACTCTACAAATTTTAATTTTGCTTTTTTGTAATGTACACTGGACGCTAAATTTAGGATATAGCTTCCTTGTTTCCTCTTCTGTAGCAAAAAAACTTGCAAATTATTTTTCTAACGGAAATAAATAGAGTCAAAATGCAAAATTTAAACTCTCATAACATAATTTTTTTAACATTTTTTCCATATTCCTGGTAATATGATATTTTTTCTGGGGCGCCAAAATTAACCGGCCAACTAAAATTTTGCAATTTTTCATATTGCAATATTTTTGTTATTTTTTTCTAGGATGTCGACGAATCTCTGTGTTCTTAAAGAACAAACTTTGAGAACACTGTAATTTAATTCAGTAACATTTCTAGTTTTGTCTTCTAAATGTTATACCTAAAAGACAATAGCACTGTTTTTTTCTTTTTTTATACTGTGCTGTAGTGTGCAACAGAGACTAAATTAAATTTTTACTTATTTCAGATTATTGCTTGTTCTTTTCTGAATGAGGATCAATTTGTTTCAAAATTTTATCTGGTGCCCCAGAGATACAAAGCATTCAAAAAGACGTTGCTTTTTTAATGTTACTAAATATGTATATTTAAAAAAACAAACTTGTAATGTCTAGAATTGATAAATGAAAAAATAATTCACATTCAATATTAATTGTAGTAACAATGCCTATTAATATCTGGGCATTGTTGTTACTATGACACCATCGTTATTCCATCACGGACCAATTTGTTGTAAATCCGTTGATTTATCCAGAGATTGTAAAAGTTGTTATGAATACTGAAATTCGAATTATTTTATTGTAAAAATAAAGAATAATAGATTCAGTTTAACACAAATGTGACTATTAAGTGAAATTTCTTCCATCTCTTGTGCAACTGTGCACTTTTTTGCTACTGAAATTATCAATTATTTTTTTAATGTTTCAATATCTTTTTAGTTATTGATTATAAACACCTAAAAGTAAATAATTTTAGAAACACAATTTAGCAATTTTTAAATGCAAAAACTATAAATAGGGTGTTCCATTTAATTTTGTTTAAGTTATTGAACTTTTAACAAACGCCTTCATTTTTTTATTTTTGCCAAAAAAATTTTCCAACCTTATAACTTGTACTTTTTTTTTCTTCTTTGCGGTAGTAGAAAAATATTTTTATTCAATGAATAGATGATAAAAAATACATCCATTGTTGTATATGTGCGATTTTTTTTTGACATTAGATTTCATTGTTGAATTTTACTTTGACATTTATAAATACCGACCAAATTGACTACAAAATTAGTGAGGATTGAATAAAATTTCACGATAAAATTTTCGTTATCTTTTCGAGCATATATAAATTGCTCTCAAAGATAAAATTGAATTTTATCGTCTTGTATAATAAATAACTATTATTGTGTACTCAATGTTAAAGAGTGTTTTTATCTACTACTAATTTCAGTTTAGTGAAATAAAGTAATGTTTATCTACTGTTTATATTTTATCAACTAATTTCAGTAGATAAAGTAGTCTTTTATCATCTAGTGAAATGAAAGTAATTTTTATTTTTTAAGAAATTCCGGTAGATGAGTACAAAATAAAACGAAATATTATAGACCACGATAAAGATTGTTTATCCACTCTTGAAAAAAGTCCACTCGTGACTTTGTCACTCGTAAACTTAACCTTTTCACTCGTAGGTAAAGAATTTCTTTATCGTCTTGTGTAATAAATAACAATTAGATATTTTTTTGTGTAATATTTTTTTTAAATGAATGTTTTCGTCAAAAAACCGTCATATTTTTAAAACTAAGCAAAATCGACCAATAAAACTTTAACTTCAAAAATTGTCGTAAAAATATACATCCAAAAGCGCTAAGAAACATATGGTGTTTCATTTAAAAAAAAACACAAGTTTGTATTGTAACTTAGTTTTAAGACACGCTGTATAGTTGAAAATAATTTTAGGCGATGGACTAGATTAGTATCTATCAATGTCTTATTTTTTTTTAATTTTGCCACTTAAAGTTCACTAATGAATTTTTTCAACACCAAAAAAAGGAATAAATTCGGTACCGCTACCAGTTTTTAGAAATTTGGAAACTAATAGTTCGCAAGCAGGAAGTTAGAAAAAGGGCCCGTTAAAATGTAGACGCAATTTGTAATGCAGGTTTGCTAAGCATTCTCAATTTTTAGCAAAAAATTGACAAGGATACAAAATAAACATGAATAAGAAAGAACCTAGGAAAGAATGCAATTAAATTAGTGTCTTGTGCATCGTTTTTGAGAAACGAGTTAAAAAAGTAACAATTTTGAAATTAAAGCTGAAGAAAAATTTATAAAATGCATCAACTTTGAGCTCATTTCAATAAATTACACTAAATTTATTGCGAATCATCATAATACCCACTTGTATTTTTTGCTAAATAACTTTTTTCTGTATAAACATCCTTTTTCTTCAAAATTTTTGTAGCAAGAATCTCATTTTTGTCCACAACATTGTACTTACTTGCGGTGTGTTTCTGTCAAAATTATTAGCACTGAATTCTGTATTTTGACCTTAGGTAATGATGTCTGTCCTCAGGTATTCAATTATAGGGCTTAAAGAGCAAACAGGCACACAAGATTCATAAAAGTCAAAATTTTGACAACATCTCAATTTGAACACATAACCATAATTTTTTAACAAAATTTCTAGGGACAAAAACAAAGAGCAAACCAAATTTGTGGCTATGGAGACAAGCTGCTACCAATTTTTTCACCAAAATTTTGACTTGGTAATTTCCATTAAAAAAAAACAAACTTTAATTCCTTGGTAAATAAAAAACAGACTTTAGTTAAATCGAAAATTATTGCTTATGTCACCAAAACAGCACAATTACGTCTTTAAACACACAAAGTAGTCTAAAAAACTTGTAACTTCAAAGGATTACAGCAAGTAAAGCGGTTAATTATTAGAAGCTTCCATGCGCCTATTTTGACGGTTTGGCACATTTGGTCTACTTAATATGAGCATTCGTTGAAATTGGACATGTAATGCTTTTTTAAGGTTTATATCTCTCATGTCTCAAGAATTAAAATTATCGAAAATGTAGTACATAATTCAGAAAGAATGGGCAATAATCTGAAATCAGTAAAAACTTAAGTTTGTCTCTCTCGCACACCACAGCTCAGTATAAAAATAAGTAAAAAAACAGTACCTTTGAATTTTGAGTATCACAAAACTAGAAATTTTATTGAATTAAATTACAATGACCTACAAAGTTTTTTCTTTCAACCAAACAAAAATCTATCGAAATCCGACAAAGAATAAAAAGATATTACAATGTGAAAAATCGCAAAATTTTAGTTGTTCGGTTAATTTTGACGACCAGTGTATTTATTATTTTTTTGGCAATTTGCAGTTGTGTTACGGCGCGAGTTCGCCGGCCCTTTCCGACCGAAACCGCTTTCCTACCCTCTTTCGCACGCATCCATCGGCAACGGTCCACAATCCTACGAGGATCAAGCTGATGAAAAAATTCGGATGGTCGAGGGTGGCGATCTTGCAGCAAGCCGAAGAAGTGTTTATTTCGACGGTGGAGGATTTGGAGACGAGATGCATGGAGGCTAATATCGAGATTGTGACGAGACAGTCGTTTTTGAGTGATCCGACGGACGCGGTGAAGAATCTCAAGAGACAGGATGCGAGGGTAATCGTTGGTTTGTTCTACGTGGTGGCGGCGAGGAGGGTGCTTTGTGAGCTGTATAAGCAGAAGCTGTATGGGAAGTCGTATACTTGGTTTTTTATCGGTGAGTTTTTAACAATGTTACAAAAATCGACCAGAAAATTTGATGTAATTTTTTGTGTATTCATTCAGTTGAGAATTTGTAGAGCTAAGTTTTTGCACTGTAAATTGTTGAATGATTACAGTTTACATTCCTAGTTGTGGTTACAGAGCGAAATTACACATCGAGCATCAAAGGATATATTTGTGAATTAAACGACTAAATGGAATTTCAATTTTAGCATTACCTTTAAATAGAATTAATTAAGTTAAATATTGGTCATAAACTGGATTATGAGCTAGATAGGGGTTTAATGATACATTTTATACAAGCTGTTCAAGACTATATAGCTTATTTAAAATTATACAGTTTGATTACGATTACGATAATAATATGCAACGCGAAATACATATAAATTACACAGGGTGAATATAAATATAGAACCAAGCGTTTTTTTAAATCATTTGACGCGAGATAATATAAATTAAAGTAATACAAAAAATTTAATCGTTTTTGGGTTATAGGTTTTTTTTTGTTAAAATTGCAATTTATGTAAAACATTTTTTGAAAAAATTTAATATAAAGTAGATAGTTGTAATCTTTAGATCATAACCTTCATGAGAAAAGTGGGTTGTTATTATAAAAAAATATTTTTTTTTGTAGAACTCGAAAACAAAAAATGTACTTTATCATTTACCAATTAGTTTTTATTCAAACTCTATTTGAAGTACAAGAAGTATTTTAAACGGATAAAATTGAATTTTTTTCGAGAATTTGGTTGCTTAGTAAATTGACGACACAAATCACCTACATAATTAAAAAGATAAAATAAAATTAAAAAACGCGTGCAAAGCACGAGAAGAAGAAACTAAAGAAGAAACTAAATTAGATTAAAAAAAATCAGCTTTATCCTATAGAAAAAAAAAACCTCGAGCGTAATTCGATGAGATATTTTAATGAATAATAAACTGTCGCCAAATTGACGTTTTTGTGCTGTGTTTTTCGAAGTCGTTTGTTCTACATTGGATTCGATTTCTCTTGATTCGACGTGCCAAAACGCATGGAATTCGCCATTTTGCATCTCATTTACAAATTAATTGTCGAATTTTAAAATTGTCTATCTGTTATCATAACAACAAACTGATTAGGTTCGAGAAACTGTGCTATGGAAGTTGGCACACATTTAACTTTATCGCCAAATTCATTATATTTCAGAACTTGCGCTCTAGAAAAAAAATGTCATTAAGGTGAGATGCCAGGAACTTGAAAAAAATGCTAAAAAAACTATATTTATAAAAATTTTGAAGTTATGGGAGTTTAAATTCTATTTATTTCTGTTGAAAAAATAATTTTCCATGTTTGTTTGCGTAGAGGCTATTAGAAGACGAAACACGGAAGCTGTATTCTAAATTGCAACTATGTTTGACGTTATTTGTGGCTTTTATTGCCAAAATTCTTGTCCCTTGACTAAATAATTGTAAAAAAAGATACAAGATCATTAGTATCATTGAATAGATATAAAAAAAATTGTTAAATGAAAAAATCAAATTTTTTGACAGAATTTTTTAAACATTTTCTTGATGTTTCTGATATCTTATCTTACTTGAAATTTTTCTCTGGGGCGCGAGTTCTGAAATAACCTGTATATGAATTAAATTGTCTGCGATTTTAATTCGATTATAAAGACGTGTTTTGAGAGGTGCAGATAAAATGCGATCTAGCTGGTATAACTGACGAATAAGGCTCGGATTATATGCACGAAAAATCGTAAAATATGCACGTATTTTCACAAAAATATGCACAAAATATTAAGAAATATGCTCCAATATATACCAAATATGCATCGATATGTAAAATTTTGAACAATAAAAGTATTTATTTTTTGAAAAAAACTAATTGATGAATTATAAAGTTCTATAAAAATGTGATGTTTTATCAAAAATAAAATTTTTCGAAATTTTRGTTATTTTGTTTTTGAGTTTTACAAAAATATTATTTTTTTAATGGTAACCCACCAAAAAAGATTTTTTTTTCATGAAAGTCATGATCTAAGGGATTACAACTATCTACTTTGTATTAAATTATTTTTTTACATATATCGCAATTTAGACAACAAAAATCGAGTAACTCAAAAACAAAACAAAATTTTGTTCTTAAAATAAGATCATTTTTATATTACTTTAATTTATATTAATTATTATTTTTTGGAAACAAATGATTTAAATAAAACCGTTTGGTTCAATACATTTTAAAAAGGAAACACTCAGCAGGGTAATAATTTTTTGAGTTTGGCTTACGAATTACCGGTTGTTTTCTCTTTAAAATATTTTGTAATAGGATCATTTTTCATAAACTGTCCAATTTTTAACATGAACTGAAATTTTTAATCGGAAATATGCAATATTTCCTAAAATATGCACCAAGTTGCCAAAATATGTAAAATATGCATTTTTTATTTGGCTTATTTTAATGAAAACACATTAGATATGCATAGAAAACTTACAATTTTGTTGATATACCTCTTAATAACAAATATGCATTTTGCATATAATCCGAGCCTTACTGATGAATGATGATTATATTTACATTTTGTTATGGTAGTAACGTTTTGTGAATCACCCTGTATGTATTGTCGCAAGTAATTATATTTTTAAATGGATGTTAGTAATTTATCAAATTACCAACTAATGTAATAACTAAATGTTTTACCAAGATTTTGTTGGATATTAAATAAATCAAACTTTTTTAAACCTATTTTTTTATTTTCGATTTTTACGTTATTTAGGACTTTTTCAGTCGCTAACTTAACAACACTTTTTTTAATAAAATTATTCGATACATACCCACAGGACTGTTAAGAGGTTTTAACAGTGCGCTTTTCTTGACGCCCGATTTTTTGTCTGTTTAAACTTTCAATTGTTGTCATTTTTGATAATTTGAAAATGCATTTTTTTTAATATTGTAATTTAGTACGACGAAAACGTTGTACGTACCACGTGTTGTTAAGGACCATAACAATTACAAGAGGATTAAAACCTTCTTTTGTCGGGCCTCAAACAATTTCCTCAGTTATTATAGCTTTCTTAACAGTCCTGTGTACGTGAATAACTGCATAGTTAAAATATTTTAAACGTGATGGTTAAACGTTTTTTACCCTGTGGAACTAATTTTCACATAACATGTCCAAAATAAACTATGAAAATGTATTACATATTCAGTCGTGTATTTTATTTAAATTTAAAATTAAATACTATGACTGCTATAAACACCATGTAAATCTGAATTCAGTTCTAAAAGAGTTAAATTAACTTTTTCCAACTTTGTCGGAAGTAATATTGTTTTTGAAGTGGCTCTCTCCTAAAAGGAAAGCACGAATAAGTCGGCCTTTAATCCAATAAATAGAATGCAATTTGCTGATAAGTAGGTATCGTTTCTTTAATCTCATTTCGAGTTACTACTTACATTTACGTCCCATTTTTACGAGTACAACCTTTTCGCAATACTTTTTTTATTTTTTGATGCAAAGTGTCTTTCGATAAAGAGATTCAAGTTGTAATTTAACGAATTAAATGTTCAAGAGAATGTATTTATAGTACATTATAAATAACATTGGGTTACATTATTTGATACAAAAAAATATAACAATTACCTTACCAGATAATAATTCACTATAAAAATAAGTACATTACTTAAGCCGCTATTTTCTTAAAATCAATCCACAAGCCACCTACAGGTGCCGTCATAATATTAATCGGGTCGTATTTAATCGGCAAAATCGTTTTCTTATTTACCGACACTTCGAAATTTCTGATAATGTAAGAAACACCTACTTTGATTTGCAAGACTCCGAACCGTTTTCCTGAAATTACAAATTACTTCTTTGACATACCAAACTTGACTTTGGTACCTAAACAAATTCTTGGCCCCTCTCCAAATGGCAAAAACGTGTACTTGGTCAACTTTTCCTTATTTTCACCGATAAACCGTTCGGGTTTGAACGTTTCTGGGTCTTGGTAATATTTGGGATCATGGTGAAGACCATAAACCGGTAAAATTATCGGAGTTCCGGCTTCAATGGTCACCGGTTTTGTCCCATTTTTGGGTGTGTAGGTGAAATTTTTGGTGCAGATTTTTTGGAGCGAAAACATAGGGGGGTGGATTCGGAGCGTTTCTGCAATACTGGGTGAGTCAAAAAAAAAATACAGTTACTTTTTTTACCATTGACAACTCCGTCTAAGTAAGGCATTGCTTGTAACTCCTCGTATGGCAACTTTCCGTTCTCCTCAAACGCTTTATTTATTTCCTCTCTCAGTTTGGTTTGGACGTCGGGGTTTGAGGCAATTTCGAAAAGTACAAAACTCATTAAAATGGAACTCGTTTCGTAGCCTTCCCCGAAAAATCCTGCCGCATGTGCTGTGACATCAATATCGGTAAATTTGTATTTGTTTGAGTTTTTTTTTAATTGGCTCACAACATGAAGGTAGTCATTTCGGACGATGTTGTTTTCTTCGCGATATTTTAGGGTTTGGGTCACCATATCGACGAATTTATTTACGATTGTTTTTTTAATAAAGCTGGAAAAGACAGTTTTGGCGACTTTTTGACCTTTTTGGTGGCGTTACCCAGCAGCTAGAGCTTTGGATAAGGTTGGGGAGACAGTCATTAGGAAGAAACTACTCGGAGGTGTGAAAAAATCTTTGGCGAGTTGGCGAAATTCACTGTTTTCTTGTTCAAGACATTTGCCTTCAAGGCCAAAAGCGCAAGTGGCAACATTGTTTAGGGTGAAACGGCGACAGATTTCTTTGACATCACTATCTAAATTTTTTCGAGTCTCGATGAATTTTACTAAATTTTCGCTGATTTTTTCTAAGTAGGGGTACAGCCACTTCATCTGAAATCAATTAATAATCAGTTATTGATAACAAAAATTTTTAATGGTACTTTTCCGCTGGTAAACCCTGGTGTTAGTTGAGCCCTAACAGTTCTCCATTCTTCCCCTTTCAGGACGAAAGGATTTCTTGCAAAAATGGGGTCGTGGCGCTTATCAACTTCGTAATCATTTTCACTAAAGTGATCAAAAGATTTGATAGTGACCTCTTTAACCAAATCAGGGTCACGAACTACCAACACCGGAGTCGTGGCTCGGTACATCCCGACAATTTCTGACTCATTATATTTACTAAAATTTTCGATAATAATTTTTTTATCAAAACTGTTTAAAGTCCTTACTGATAAGCTTCGGCGAAAATTTCTCCAGGTGAAGCTTTCAAAATGAAACTCCGTCCCATATTGCCCACCAGAAAGTTGGCTTTGGGACCAGGGATGCCTCTTTTTTCCCAATATTGATAATTCAGTTTCAAAAAATAGTAGGCAACAATTATTACCAAAATTATTAGAATGGTAAGCATTTTTTAAGTAAACACGGACACTTGTTGGGATAGAACTAAGTTCGTTTGGGAGAAAAAGGTCAATTTATTCTTTAAAATAGCAAATATTTTTAACTTTGTGGAAAATTACTGATAAAATCGAGCACATTAATGTGTGACCCGGTCAAGTAGTTGCGTCAGAATTATGTGATAACATATATGCACATGTGGTCCAGAATTTTCGCAACTGCTGGGGTTTGGGAATTATAAGAACAAAGTGCAAATCCATTTTTTTTAACACCAAAGTCTGTTAAATTTTTATAATTGCATTATTTTTATTTATTTTGTTGTTTTTTACTGTTTAATAATTGTTGTTTTGTTTGAAACGTTTCTGGTAATTTGTTACGAAAAACACTTCTAAAATCCAAATTTTATTTTGAACACTTGTTTGTATTTCGGGATATGTCAAATAGGGGTTAAGTATTTGTCAAACTGACTTTTTTGAAATTGAACACAGCTAAAATATTAAATTATTTATTTTTGAACCAATAAAAGTACAGCTAAGTCATTTTTAAAGGCATAATATATTAGTTTTTGGAAGTAGAATTTCTATTTTTTATAAAACTGTTTTTTTATATTTTACGATCATGACCTACTAACGCAATTCAGAACAGATTTACAAAATTGACAAAATTTTATTGTGCGAACGAAACGTGAAACTTAAAATACACATAGCTAATAAAAACATTGAGGTCGCAGTTTTAGGGCAGCCTATACAGTGAGCGGCAAAATTATGGAATAATTTTAATAAAACTAAAAATATTTTGTTTTGGCAAAAATGCTCGAACAGATGTCGTTTTTAATTAATTTTTAACTTGATTTAAAATTTTACACTTTATGGTTTTTGAGTAAAGACGAGATCGACATTTTTTAATGGAAACCTATTTTTTAGCCAATTTGATAGATCTTTTAAGTGTTAAAATGACAACATCAAAATATTAGATATTACATAGTTTCCAAAAAAAAAATCATCCAAAAAGTGAAAAAAATAAACAGACAATTTTAAATCAAGTATATAATGTAAAAAGTATTTCCAATTTCAATTTCCAAAGTTTTTTCCAATTTTTTTATGAGCCAAATAACTTTTATGTTAAGAATGGATATAAAACCTTAGACTAAAAACACAAATTGACAACTCAACACGGTTTACAACAAAAAAATTCTAGAAAACCTATCTTAAGTTGTTGTTATTGGTGTTTTTGTTAACAGGGTGTAGCCTAGGTGTGGTTTTGGAACAGTCTGTATAATGTTTTGGAAAAAAAGGATAAAAGTGGTTTATTAAAAAATGTGATTATTAGCATTCTTGTTTAATGAATAAGATGTGTTTTGTAACATAGATTAATTATTATTAAATAATAATACGAGTGAGTATTTAATAAAAATAAATATTTTACACAGAATAAAATTAGATATCTTTAAAATGTTACTTTTTTGGTACAGTCGTAGAGCTGATCTGAATATAGTTCCTTCTTTAGTGTAAAAGATATGTTTTTATCTAAATTGTTTGTGATAGGAAAATTCTTACATGCGTATGGGAAGTGCCAAGTTATGAGTGCTACATACGTAAAATTCTTTTTACAAGGATGTATTTGTTATAAGATAAACTTATATTACATAATTAGTTATCAATAATGTTGTAATTTTTTCACATTCTGACATTGGAAGCAAAATAGTCCAAATACTTGAGTAGTCGATCTTACATCAAGTGATGTTACAGAAACCTTTGGTGTTTGTAACTCAAAGAGTTGTCAAGCGACTATGAAATCGATACCTTGAGTGAAATTCAATACGCTTTGAATACCTTTAAAGGGTTCAAAGGGTTTAAATTGAATTTAATAATTTACATCAGTTGCTGCTTTTTCTACCAGTATTTTTCTATGGTTTTGTAGACTTTACACTTAGTCTGATAAGAACACGTATGTTGGGTGGAATTTATTACGACGGCTTTACCACCGAAAGTCGTGACTTGAAGAAAAGAAACCAATTATATTAAGACAAATCTTCTGAAATGTCATAAGACTTAATAAAAAGTCGCAAGCAAGGTGGGAATATAAGAATAAAAGAATGTGAGTTAGGACTGCAGATTTATTTCCTCTAGGAGTTGAATTTTATAGTGATACAAGAGTAGATTTTTTTAATTTTATTGCAGTTTTTTTATTTAATTTTTCTAAAATTAAGCCACAAGCCCCCAACAGCCGCCGTTATGGGGTTAACGGGATCATATCTTATTGGCACTTTTGTCTTTTTATTGACTGCCAATTCGTAATTATGAACAATGTGTGCAACTCCCACTTTAATTTGTAGCAAACCAAATCTTTGTCCTACAAATGAAAAGAAAATAAGAAATTACGTTTTTTTTATATTTTGTGAATTACCCAAACAGCTTCTGGGACCTTCACCAAAGGGCATAAAAGTGCACTTGACAATATTTTCTTTATTTGAGCCGAGAAATCGTTCCGGTTGGAAGGAATCAGGATCTTCGTAATAATCCGGATCGTGGTGGAGACCATAAATGGGTAAAATAACAGTGGTACCTTTTTCGATTGTCACAGGTTTGTTTGCGTTTTTGGGAGTAAAAGTAAAGTCTTTGGTGCATAGTTTTTGGGTGTGTAGAAGTGCCGGATGGCAACGTAACGTTTCTAAAAATTTTTTTCATGTCGTGACAACTTGACAAATTTTATATCATTTTGTTCGTCTCAGTGAGACAAATCAAATGCAATAAAAAAAAATTTAAAAAGTCCATACACTTTGAAGTAAATAATTTTTTTCTAATTTAAATGAATTTAAAATACTTTAACTTTAAAAAATCATTATTCAATAACTATTAGGCCGATTTCCTTCATATAAAGACCATTCTAAAGGGATAGACTTGCCCTTTAGAATGATATGCAATTTGAAATTGAATATTGGCAAACTTCGAACACTGTTCGAAGAATTTCGAAGTAAATCGAAGTAATCTAAGAAAAACCCTACGAGTATTTTTTTTCTTCGTCACCATCGTGTAGAGCATCTTTTTATTAATAAGAATCTAAATTTTTAAATAATATACCGAGTAGTTTTCAAGATATGATTTTTTGAAGTTAAGGTTTGCTATTCAGGATTGCTCCATATAGGAGAAATACATGTTAATCTTACTTTAAAATTTTTATGGAAATATTTGTTTTAAAACTTTTCTTTTGCTTAAAAATGGTCAATTGCACGTTCTTTTTTCTAATTAGAATAAACAAAAACTGTTTCTTTACTTAAAACAAACAAGGAGTACCTGCGTACTAAATTAAAGCAAATAAAGAGTTTTTTTGTTCTAAAAATGATCACTTATCATTGAGCAAAAAGGATCTAGAAGTTTAAAGCAGTAGCTTTAAATATAAGAACAAATCGTTTTCAAATTAAATCACTTTTCATGCAGATTCCAACTTGTTCACTTTGTTCTAGCTTTCTGAACTTTTTATTGAAAATGTTCTCAGCAAATGCTTTCTCATCACTTTCTACTGATGGTGAATGCAATAAGTCAGTTGCTTCGTGTGCAACTGTTATCACAACAACTACTACCTACAAGCTAACTGAAGCTAATCGTACCAACAAAATAAATCAGGTGACTTATTGCATTTAACATCACTCGAAAGTGATGAGAAAGCATTTGCTTAGAACATTTTCAAAAAAAGTTCAGAAAGCTAGAACAAAGTGAACAAGTCGAAATTTGAATGGAAAGTGATTTGCCCTTATATTTAAGGCTCGTGCCTTAAACTTCTAGATCCTTTTTGCTCAATGATCAGTGGTCATTTTTACAACAAAAAAACTCTTTATTTGCTTTAATTAGTACGCAGGTACTCTTTATTTGTTTTAAGTAAACAAACAGTTTTTGTTTATTGTAATTAGAACAAAGAAGGTGCAATTGACCATTTTTAAYCYAAAGAAAAGTCTTAAAAAAAATACTTTTATAAAAATGCAATTTTAAGTAAGATTAACGTGCATTTCTCCTATTTGGCGCAATACCTGAATAGCAAACCTTAACTTCAAAAAATCATATCTTGAAAACTACTCGTTATATTCTTTTAAAAATTTGGATCACAACTAATGAAGAGCTGCTCTACACGATGGTAATGATGAAAAAAAAATTACTCGTAGGGTTTTTCATAGATTATTTCGATTTACTTCGAACTTCTTCGAAAAGTGTTTGCCAATATTCAATTTCAAATTTTATATCATTCTAAAGAGCAAGTCCATCCCTTTAGAATGGTTTTTATTTGAAGGAAATCGGCATAATAGTTATTGAGTAATGATTTTTTAAAGTTCAAATATTTTAAATTCATTTAAATTAGAAAAAAATTAATTAATTCAAAGTGTGTGGACTTTTTGAAATTTTTTTTAGTGCATTTGATTTGTCTCACTGAGACGAACAAAATGATACAAAATTTGACATGATTTTTTTTTGTCGCCCTGTGTAATCATAACGTGACAAAATTAACTTACCATTAATGACAGCGTCTAGATACTGGAGTTGTTGCAAGACTTCGTAAGGTAATTTGTTACCGTTATTTTCAAAAGCTTTATTTACTTCTCCTCTTAACTTTTCTTGAACATTGGGATTTGAAGCAATTTCGTACAGAACAAAACTCATCACAGCTGAACTAGTTTCGAAACCGTCGCCAAAAAATCCAGCTGCGTGTGCAGTTACATCAATATCAGCAAATTCATAATCGGTTGAAGTTTTCTTCAATTGCATCAAAATGTGGAGAAAATCGTTTCGTAACACGTTGTTATCTTCTCGATATTTTATAGTTTGTGATACTATATTTGTTAATTTCTTTTCAACACTTTTGGTGACAAATCTGATTGAGAATAGTTTTGATAACGGGGGTATTACAGTCGAAAGAAAGAACGCAATAAATGCTGAACTTCCCGGCGAGAAAAACTCTACTGCCAGTTGCCTAAACTCGCTGTTTTCTTCTTCGAGACATTTACCTTCGATGCCGAAAGCACAACTTGCAACATTGTTCAGAGTAAATCTAGCACACAATTCTTTTGCATTATAACCTTTTCCGTTTGTTGTCTCGGGGTGGTTGTCAATGAATTTGACAAGGTTGCCGGCTACTTCCTCTAAAAGAGGGTACAACCATTTCATCTACGAATTTTAATCAACAAATATTTTATAAAAAAATATTATTTTTTACTTTTCCACTTGTGAATCCCGGTGTTAATTGTTGGCGAACAGTTTTCCACTCCTCGCCTCGCAAGAAGAATGGATTTCGTCCGATAATTGGGTCAATCTTTTTGTCAATATACATGTCATTGTCATGGAAATTACCAAAGGATTTTAAAGTCACTTCTTTGATTAGTTCAGGATCGCGAATCAATATTATTGGGGTCGTAGTCCGGTACAAACCCACAACATCTTCATTTTTAAACTGACTAGAATTTTGGAATTAGATTTAGTCAATTTTGGAAAAAATACTCACTTGTAAGCTTCTGTGAATATTTGTCCAGGTGATGATTTGCAAATAAAGCTTTTGCCCATATTTCCAACCAGGAAGCGGGGTTTTGGTCCGGGTACTCCACGCTTTCTCCAGTATTGGTAATTAAGGTGTAATAAATAATAAATTATTATTATTATTGTTAGTAGAAGTATTGGAATCATTTTGTCAAGTCTGAGGCTGTAATCAAATCTAATTAAGCTTAAACTGGAACATTGCCAGTATTTATATTTTTATTTGAAAAGTCATGACTCATGATTACTTGTTAATATTTTGAGTATTGAAGTACGTACCAAAATTACAGTTGATTTTCAACAAAAATTTGAAAAGGTTTCTTCACAGTCAAATCACTTCATAGTTTCAATCAAGTTCAATCTGCGTTGTGACTACCCCTCCTTTTGTTTAAATGGACCAAATCAAATTTAATAGTCAAGGTTGTTTTCATTGAGTTGATAACACTATTATTGTCAATATTCTAATAAAATATTTGAATATAGTTCAAAATATCTAGACAAAAATTGTGGGTTACAGGCATAAATTGCAATTATTATACTTTATTTATTTTATTTATTCTTTTCTTTAAATTCTTTTACAGTAATTTTAAATTTTTGCTTAACCTGAAACGAGCAAATCTGTAATTAAAACTTCACTTATTCTGATTCAGTGGAAAGAAAAGTTTATTTTTCTCTTGATTTTGGACTTTTTTCCTATATGCTTTCTAAGTCCCATTACAACGGCGGTTTTATTTTATTTTTTTGATAACGATGTCACTTTGACATTAATTAATTAATTGAATAATGATTGTTCTTGTTATAAAATGACTTTATTTTTTATCTTAAAGCTCTTTTTTAAATTTCCATTGATTAAAATTGTTTTTTACAAACATTTTTGTTATTTAACTTGCGTAAACTCATTTGTCAAAGTGACATTGTTACAAAAATTAAAACCGCCGGAATTTAAAACGCAGAAATTTACATTTTAGATTTGCTTGTTTTAGGTGAAGCAAAAAATGTTTTTCTTTTCAGTTTTGTCATAAAATCGAAAATATTTTTTTCTCTTTGCAAACTCAATCCGGGGACATACTGTCTATTTGACGTAATTGACTTTATTTGGCGAAAAAAAAACGTTTGGTTTGAACGATTCGGGATCCTTGAATCGGATCACAATGGAGACCATAAATTGGCAGAATAACTTTCTCAATTATGACTGACTTGTTTGTATTTTTCGAAACAATCGTAAAATCCTTAAAATTTATAATTTTTATAAATGTTGAAATGGAAGATGCCAATGTAACGTTTCTAGAAAATAATATGAAATACAATAATTTGATAACATTTCGAAACTCACCCACCTTCAAATAATAAATTTCTTGCATAACTTGTAAACGTTATTTTCAAAAATTTTATTACCATGTGCTCTTAAATTTGCTTGAGCGTCAGGATTTAAACTCATCAAACCTGTAGTAGTACCAACCATTTTTTTTTAGTTGGGTCAAAATGTGAAGAAAATTCTTACGCACAACGCTTTTGTCTTTGATGCGATATTCTATTGTTTGTAGCACCAGATCTCAAATGTGCCCTTTTTTCCACTCTTTTGGTTACATATTTAAAAAGTACATAATGTCTTAACTATTGAAGTAAACCCAGAAGTCGCACTCTTTTTAATTCGTCTCCTAAAGGATTTCGTCTAGCAATTTGGTTAATTTTTTTGTCATTTTAGTATGGAAACTACTTAAATTGCGAGCATTTATACAAATTTGACAAGTCATGATTACATTTTATAAATTGTACATTGTTATGACAATTATTAATACGAGTATTGGTATTATTTTGAACACGTTTTAAGCTGTAAACAAACAAGAATCAATTTTTACAAGTCATGATTACTTGTTAAAATTTTTGTTTACTTATGTCTATCGAAAAATATTTTATAAAACATTTGATGTAACTGTACTGTATTGTAACTAGCTTTAACTCATTCATATATGCATTACATATTTACTAATTTATTTATTTAATAAATGTAAAAATTTACATTTGCTTGTCAATATTTTTGAGGCTTCAATTACAGTTTTTGAAAATTCTAAAGTTGGAAAATATGACATTTCAGCTTCATTTCAACAATGAATATGAAATATTATACAGTTCACATTGGAAAGTGGTCACTTCCTTATTAGGTGATATGTTATATGACAGTTTAGGTTGGGAAATGGCCACTTCCCAACCAGGAAACTAATAAAGAAGTCACTTCTCAACCCGAGCTGTCATTATATATCATGTTTTTTTTAAATTTGATAAATTGTACTTTTGGTTGTAGGACTATTTTGTTTACTTGATTATTTTGTTACATATTTTATTAGAATTCTTGATATTAATTGACTGAATTTTCGTAAAAATGTTTAAAAAGTGGCCTCATCTAATGGACCGCTTCCGTTTTTTTTAATTCACTCAGTTAATATGTACAATGTACAAAATGTACTACTAATTTTACTACAGGGTGTGCACAATTTAACTTTTCAAAACAAAAGCTTTTTTTTAATTATATTAAAATTTTGTCAAAGAAGGAGGAAGAATAAAAAGGCATCATTATTTATTTTAATACTTATTGTTTAAAATAACACAATTTTTGATATTTAAATGATAAAATAAATCACATTTTATGAGCAACTTGATTTGATTTATTTGATTTTTTTCAAATTCAACCATAATCCTCCAAGAGGTTCTGTCACAGCATTCGTTGGCACATATCTGATTGGCATTTGAGTCTTTTCATTAACAGTTAACTCGTAGTGGTTAATAATGTATGCAATTCCCACTTTAAGTTGTAACACTCCGAATCTTTGTCCTAGAAAATCAGAAACAATATCACCTTGCTATTTATTTTTTTAAATTGTACCTAAACAACTTCTGTGGCCCTCCCCAAACGGCAAATACGTATACTTGACAATATTTTCTCTATTTGCCGGTAGAAATCTTTCCGGTTTGAATGAATCCGGATCTTCGAAATAATCCGGATCGTGGTGAAGACCATAAACCGGCAAAATAACAGAAGTTCCTTCTTCAATTGTGACAGGCTTTTTTGAATTTTTCGGTACGAAGGTGAAATTTTTGGTACATAATTTTTGGGCGTGTAACACTGACGGATGACAACGCAACGTCTCTAAAAAATTTAATGAAAACTTACCAAATGATCAAAAGTGACTCACCCTGGATAACAGCGTCTAAAAGGTGAATTTCTTGCAAAGCGTCATAGGGTAACTTGTTACCATTTTGTTCAAACGCTTTACTAACTTCTTGTCTCAATTTTGCTTGAACTTTTGGATTTGCAGCGATTTCATGCAACACGAAACTCATCACTGTACCACTCGACTCATAACCGTCACCAAGAAACCCAGCTGCGTGTGCAGTCACATCAACATTTGTAAATTCATAATCTTTGCAAGTTTTCTTCAATTCGATCAAAATTTGGAGAAAATCGTTCCTAACTATATTATTTTCTTCGCGGTATTTTACAGTTTGTGTCACCAAATCGGTCAATCTTCTCTCCACACTTTCAGACGCAAATCGGATTTTCATGTATTTTACCAACGGTGGAAATAAATTCAGGATGAAGAAAGCTATGAAATTCCAGCTTCCAGGTGCGAAAAATTCTTTCGCCAGTTCTTGAAACTCGTTCGTTTCTTCCTCGAGACATTTTCCTTCGATTCCAAAAGCACAACTTGCGACGTTGTTTAGAGTGAATCTAGCACACAGTTCTTTGGCACTGTAACCTTTTCCATTTGTGGTTTCGGGGTGATTGTCGATGAATTTGATAAGATTGCCGGCTACTTCCTCCAAGAGAGGGTACAACCATTTCATCTAGGAATTTTAATCAACAAATATTTTATAAAAAATTATTATTTTTTACTTTTCCACTTGTAAAACCCGGGGTCAGTTGTTGCCTCACAATTTTCCATTCATCTCCCCTCAAGAAGAAGGGATTTCGTCCCACGATTGTGTCAACATTTTTGTCAATATATAAATCATTGTCGTGGAAATTATTAAACGATTTTAAAGTCACTTCTTTGATTAGTTGCGGGTCGCGGATTAATATTACAGGTGACATAGCTCGGTACATACCGACCACATCTTCGTTTTTAAATTGACTAAAATTTGAATTAAAACAAATTTGTTGAAAATACTCACTTGTAAGCTTCTGTGTAGATGTGTCCAGGTGATGCTTTGAAAATAAAACTTTTGCCTAAATTCCCAACAAAGAAGCGGGGTTTTGGACCACGTATTCCTCGTTTTTTCCAGTATTGATAATTGTTGTGTATTAAGTAATAAATTATCGTTACGAGTGCGGTTATTACAATTATTAGTATCATTGTGAACCGATGTCTGCAATCAAACTGTTTTCAGAGTTATTGAAAGTACTTTTAAAAAGACAAATCATTTTAATTTTGTTATCAAGATTATCTCTTTTGGTTTAAGTTATTATGATAACATTTTTTTACTATTAACAGGAAGTATACATTTATTAAAAACGAGTATTTTTTGTCGAGTAATTGTTTACTCTATACAGGGAGCGGAAAAAATGTTTAAAAAATTCTATCTGTCAAAAAATTTTGACATTTAGTTTTTGTCATTTGACATTTTTATGATGTTTTTTTACAATTATTTAGTACAAGTACAAAAAAATTTCCAATAAAAGCCACAAACAACATTAAACAGAGTTATAATTTAAGATACAGCTTCCTTGTTTCCTCTTCTAATAGCCTGTAGCAAAAAAACTTGGAAAATTATTTTTTCAACAGAAATAAATAGAGTCAAAGTACAAAATTTAAACTTTCGTAACTTCGAAATTTTTATAGATAGAGTTTTTTTCACATTTTTTCCGTATCTTATCTTACCCTATATTATAATATACACTATATCCAGATTCTGCACAGTACCTATTTATTAATCAGACAGCTGTTTTATAGTAGTCAAGGTTATTTTTATTAATATATCCTCCCATTTTGTCTACATGACATCATAAGCTGATCAAATTGTTTGTTGATAAACAAATGGTTTTAAATTATTTTTGTACTTATTGCTTGGAAACAGAATATTGTTAAATATAAATAATGATAAATTATCTTTTTTTTTTAATTTTGAGTTCTCTCTTTCGGAGAGAATTTCCCCGCATTCGCACTAAATACAGCTCATGCGGAAAAATTATCTTTCCGAATTCGTTACGTAAATAACTATTTTAAAATACTGTAGTTTAAGTGTAGAAATTTTATCAGAACTTTTTTGTTTGAAAGACGAATGGAATAAGTCTTTCTGTATTATTTTTTTTTCCATTTTACCAAATTTTTGATCAAATATTTTTTTATTTGTCGCTACTGGTAATTGTTTAGATCTTTCAGTAAAAGTTTGCATTTTTAAATATTATAGAAACAAAATTAACAAACATTAACAATAATGATTGAATTTTGAGTGTTTTTATGTCAGACCCACGAGCGATGGCAACTTTTAAAACAGGGATTTTTGTAATAGTATTTTTATTTTCAAGAGGGAATAAAGTAACACAGTAATTATTTTTGTACTCATTGCTTGGAAAAAGAATATTGTTAAATATAAATAATGATAAATTATCTTTTTTTTTAATAATTTTGAGTTATTCGTTACAAAAAACCTTGTTCCTAACTCTTTCGGAAAGAATTTTCCCGCATTCGCACTAAAGGCAGCTCATGCGGAAAAATTATCTTTACGAATTCGTTAGGTAAATAACTATTTTAAAATACTGTAGTTTAAGTGTAGAAATTTTATCACAACTTTCTTGTTTGAAAGACAAAGGGAATAAGTCTTTTTGTATTAATTTTTTTTCAATTTTAGCAAATTTTAAATTAAATATTTTTTTGTCGCTACTTGTAATTGTTTAGATCTTTCAGTAAAAGTTTGCATTTTTAAATATTATAGAAACAAAATTAACAAAAATTAACAATAATGATTGAATTTTGAGTGTTTTTATGTCAGACCCACGAGCGATGCCAACTTTTAAAACAGGGATTTTTGTAATAGTATTTTTATTTTCAACAGGGAATGAAGTAACACATTATTTCCTCGTTTTTGAAAAATTGAATGAATTGAATGCATCTTTGGATACCAATCTTTAGTCTAAAAATTGCAAAAATTGAACTCAGTATTTTGACAAATTTTTGACAAATTATCATTTTCTCATGTTATTGTTACAAGATTTAGTCTGTTGGGAGCATTTCTGGAAATATCGTGAACCTCTTGAATGAAAATGTCCTCGGTTCCATGAGGTCGCTTCTGGCATTACCTGCTTTTATTCTTGTCTCTTGATACATAAATAATTTTTTTTTTAAATGCATTGGACGATTATGATTATATCCACAGTCAACCAACATTACAATGTTTAATAATTATAAGTAAAAGACAAATATTTCAAGATAAAAGTTATTTATTTTGAACAAGTTATAAGACAGCAAAAAACATTTTTTTAAATAAAGGCATGCGTCACAATTATTATTATATTGTAGTTTCTTTTTATTTATTTTTGTTCTAAAATAAAAAAATCCATTATTTAAACTTTTTTATTGAAACTGTAACTCTCGTTCAATAATACATAATTTTGGTTTACTCTTCATTTAATCTTTTTAAAATCTAGCCAAAAACCTCCAACTGGGGCTGTGACAGGACTTGTTGTTTGGTATTTTATTGGTGTTTGTGTCTTTTTTTTTACACTTAACTCATAATAATGAATAATGTGTGCCACTCCCACTTTGACTTGTAACACACCAAATCTTTGCCCTGAGAAAAATCGTTAACAAGATTTTTAAGTCTTTTCCATATTCTTATACCTAAACAGCTCCTAGGACCTTCACCAAAAGGCATATATGTATATTTGACCATATTGTCTTTATTTGGCGAAAGAAATCGTTCTGGTTTAAACGATTCGGGATTTTCGTGATAAATCGGATCACGATGAAGACCATAAAGTGACAGAATAATCGGAGTTCCTTTCTCAATTGTGACTGACTTGTTTGTATTTTTCGAAACAAACGTAAAATCTTTCGTGCATATTTTTTGTAAATGTTGAAGTGGAGGATGCAAACGTAATGTTTCTAAAAAATAATATGAAATACAACAATTTGATAGCACTTCAAAAGTTACCGTTAATAATAGCATCCAAATAATGATTTTCTTGCAAAGCGTCATAAGGTAACTTGCCATCGTTATTTTCAAAAATTTTATCAAGTTGTTCTCTTAATGTTTTTTAGGATTTTCAGCCAGTGTGTACAAGACAAAACTCATCACACCTGCACTAGTTTCGTAGCCATCGCCAAAAAATGCAGCTGCTTGTGCAACAATATCAATATCTGTAAACTCATTATCTTTGGAAGTTTTTTTCAATTGGATCAAAATGTGGAGAAAATCGTTACGAACAACGTTATTGTCTTCTCGATATTTCACGGTTTGTTGCACCAGGTCTCTCAATTTGTTTTCGACACTTTTAGTAACAAATTTAATAGGTAAATACTTCACTATTGAAGGGTTTAACGTGGCAAGGTATATACCAAAAAAGCTCCAACTGTCGGCTGGAAAAAACTCCATCGCCAGTTGTCTAAAATAGCTGTTTTTCTCTTCGAAACATTTTCCTTCTATCCCAAAAGCACAACTTGCAACATTGTTTAAAGTGAATCTAGCACACAACTCTTTCGCTTCGTAACCTTTTCCGTTTGTAGTTTCTGGGTTTTTGTCGATGAATTTGACCAAATTTTCAGCCACTTCCTCTAAGAGAGGGTACAACCATTTCATCTACAATTTTCTATAATAGATTTTGGGAAATAAATTTAGCGATTCGTTACTTTTCCACTGGTAAACCCTGGGGTTAATTTTTGTCGTACATTTTTCCATTCGTCTCCTGTTAAAACGAAAATATTTCGGCCAACAATTGGATCATAGTTTTTGTCGATGTATACATCATTATTATGGAAACTACTAAACGATTTTACTGTGACTTCTTTGATTAGTTCAGGGTCACGAATTAATAGTACAGGTGTCAAAGCACGATACAATCCTACTACTTCCTCATTTTTGTATTGACTGAAATTTTGTTTTTATTAGAACACATTTTGAATTTGAATTTAAGTTTATAATTTTTAATTAGATTGGGTGCAATTTATTTTTGGTGAAATGAAAACAGACAACAAATATACAGGGTGCGCCAGAACTCGCGCCCCAGAGAAAAATGCCATATAAGAGAAGAAACATGGAAAAAATGTTAAAAAATTTTATCTATAAAAATTTCGAAGTTATGAGGGTTTAAAGTTGGCACTTTGACTCTATTTATTTCTGTTGGAATAATAATTTTTGCTATAGGCTATTAAAAGAGGAAATAAGGAAGCTATATCCTAAATTGTAACTCTGTTCAATGTTATTTGTGGCTTTTATTGTCAAAAATATAGTCCCTTTACTAAATAATTAAAAAAAACATATACAAGATCATCAGTATTATTAAATAGATATAAAAAAATGTCAAATGTCAAAAAATAAATGTCAAAACTTTTTCCCAGATAGAATTTTTTAAACATTTTTTTCATGTTCCTGGTATCTTACCTTACTTGAAAATTTTCTCGGGGGCGCGAGTTTCTAATTTAAGGTTTTTAATGATAACTACAATAAATAAATGCTTGAAGAGAAATTGACATCTTTTTCACTTGTGTTTAGTTAATTACGAAAATTAAGTTTGCCAAGCTCAAACCAAAAATTAACGCCTACTTTAATATCTATGAATTTAAATGACGACACAGTACTTACTTGTAAGCTTCAAAAAATACTTCTCCAGGTGTTGCTTTCAAAATAAAGCTTTTGCCCATATTACCGACCAAAAACTTGGGTTTTGGGCCAAGTATTCCTCGTTTCTTCCAATATTCATAATTGAGATGGAAAAAATAGTAAACTGTCGTTAACACTGTGATTGTTAGTATTATCAGAATCATTTTTGTACGTAATGTAGAGTTTACAGTGTGAGAGATTTTTATAACTCAATTTAATCAGAAGAGATACAGTGTTGCCAGCTCTCAAATTTCATGAGATCTCATGATTTCAGTTAGACGCTCCTGATTTATTATTGCTGATTTAGGTTTTATTTATCAAAGTATCGGTTCAGTACAAATACTAAAAAGTGTAAAACTAGCAAGATGCAAAGAATTTTGTAAGCACAAGTAAATAATCAACATAGTGTGTTACCTTTTCATAGGTATATATATTTAAATAATTCTTTTTTTTCAAAATTTCTTTACGTGAAACTTGAAACTATCTATAGTCAGTTTAATTTTTAGCTTTAATTGAACATTGAATGTGAAACTGAATGTTATTTTGATGGATAGTACAAGTGGTGACATTGTTAGTGTCAAGTTGTTATTTATATATTTTAATCATGTATTAGCACAGGTATTAACGATGTTTGAATTGAATTTTTTTTACTTTATACTAATAATTAAGGCAGACATTTCATTATTGTATACAAAATTATTTTAAAATGATATTGTCGACGTCTCATAACTAGAAAGTCATAAAAATATCAAATCTCATAGCTTTTTGCGTTTTTCTCGTGGATTTACTTTTTTCGACTTGGCAACGCTGAATCATTATTTTGTTGCGTCATGGTTTGTGTTTATAAATTTATCTGTCGAATGAAAACAAATGTGTCATCGAGATCGATTCTGAGGGACAATAAACGAATTTGATTAACATTTTGTAACGTTAAATAGTCTGTTTTTTTTTTAATGGAAATGCCAAACAGTCCTAACGTTGGCACCCCTAACAAATTTATTTATGGTAATTTTAATAAAGGAAGTTGACAGTTCCAGTTTTTGATTTAATTTAAAAAAAATGTCATTAACGTTAGCAAAAAAATCGTCTAGGAAAATTTAGAAATGAAAACACAAAAACGGGAACAAATTGGGTACGGCGAACGCGAACATTTTTTGGAAATTTGAAGACGAAAAATGAGTCTGAACAAGACCACGGCTAAAATTTAAACGCAATTTGTAATAAACATTCTCTAATTTTTAGTAAGAAATTGATGAGAATACAACATAAACATCAAACAGAAAGAACACAATTAAATTAGTAGGTCTGGTAGCACCGTTTTTGAAGACTGAGTTGAAATAGAAACAATTTTGAAACTAAAGCCGAAGGAGAATTTAGAAAATGCATCAACTTTGAGCTCATTTCAATAAATACACAAAATTTATTGCCGATCATTATAAACCCTGCTTGTATCTTCTACAAAATAACTTTTTTCTGTATAGACACCCTTTTTTATTAAATTTTTTGTAGTAAGAAGTTCATTTTTGTTCACAACATTGTACTTACTTACAGTCTTATTAGACTGAATTCTGTCTTTGGACATTAGGAAGTGATGTCTGTCCTCAGGTTTTTGATTATAAAGGCTTACAAAGAGCAAACAAAAAGCATTTTAATTGCACTGACGTTTTTGAATAAGTTTTTGAAAATGTGAAAATAAGTAGATGATATTTAAAATTATGATACAAATATTTCACACTTTTATCTTGGTTGCGAAGAAACTGCTTTTTGAAAAACTTTTTATGTAGGTATTTTTGTAAATGTACACAATATTTACAAAATTATTGATTCAACAAAAGTCTACTTCGTCAACATAACTTGACAAGCTATGATGACTATTAAAAGGAAGGACGATTGTCTATAATCATGATGATTTGAAATTCTCTTTAAAAATCAGCAAATCATTATTGTTTTTAAGTTTACATAGGTTTTGCCTTTTAATTGTTTTTTCCTAACTCATCTTTTTAGTAAAAATTTTAACTACGAGTCATGACCGAAAAATGTTAATTCATTATTCGCATATGTTTTTACGAATATCAGAAATATCTATAAAGACTATAAAAATAGAAAATCAGTTTTGGAGAACTTTGATATTGTTTATGATACTCGTAAATAAAGTTTCTTTGTAATTGATCGTAAACTTAACCTTACCCACTTCTGAAAATGCATTTTGTCGGTTTTTTTAATGTTTATTATATGAGCAAAAAGCAAAGACAAAATATTTACATTACATCAGATTGATAACACTTGACATGTATTATGTTTTGATAAAAGTACTTATTCAAAATTTGAACTTACTGACTTTTTGATTACATTATTAGCAAGTAAGTACTCTAAATGTATCAAGAATAACAAAAAAATATTTTATTCGATAATAGTGTAATACAATTCATTACAAAAAAAAACAACTCAAGACTGCTTTGAAAAATATTTTGCATGTCTTTGATTATTTCATTTATCCACTTGTCAAAATGTTTAACGTTCACCTACTGCAAGTTTTTTGTTGCTAACACACGTTATAACATATACAATATGTCCCCAGATAGGTGAAACCACTCTTGCAAAAGATAAAAAATTGTCGATTTATTTATTTTTTGGAGTTTATCCCAGCTTGGTTAAAGACTAATTTCTAATATAATTTGCGTTTTGAAACATCAAGTGTGCCTGAGAAATTTTCAAAAAACTTATTTTTTGGTAATGGCAAATTTCAAAATCATCGGCAAATTATTCTTCACTTATTTTGTAAAAGAAAGAAAAAAAAACTGATAACTCATTAACATTTTTGAAAACTTTCAAAACATACCCGGTTTTTCAAAAAAAAAATTATGTTAGAAATTAGTTTTTAGCCAAGCAGGGTTGAACCCCAAAAAATTAAAATTTAAATTTTTATATTTTACAAGCGCATAAATTCCTCATTTTTATAAAAGTTTGTATCTCTCGCTTTCCAATTTGTAAATTTCTCACAGGCTTGAAACTACCAACCCCTCGAACACATAACCATTTAGATTAGAGATACCTGATCCTATTTTTTCACTCCTTGGTAAAGTAAAACACGTATCGTGTCTGTTACGACTATGTAGGGCACCTATCTGATTGCTGTAGCAATTTCTTATAGCTGGTTATCAGACTGGAAACGTTGAAAGCTGTTTTTAGACTAATATAATTTTCTTTAGATTTTGATAAATGTGCACTAAATGGTCTACATTGGCGCACATCGACTTATTAGGTAAATTATTGAATTGATTTGATAACCTTGCCGCCAACATAAACCTACTATTAATAGTCGTGACTAAATTGGAGATCCAGGACCGGATTGAAAGCAAATTGGAAACTGTTTACACAGAGCACACAAAAGCGAACGAAATGTTTGGTTGAAAGGGGACAAACAGGTCTAATTGAAGACTGTGACGGAAATAAATCTTATTCCTTTTGAAAAGTTTATTCGGAAGCTAAGCGTGCACGTTATTGGCATTTAGGCAAGCAAACCGAAAGCCATTTCTGTGGCATATTTTCTGTTTTTCACTTGATTTACAGAATTTTTCACGTTATAAAAATTAAAAATTGTCCAACTCTGAAATATGAAGTTTCAGTTCCGGGAAAAGCTAACCGCAGCAAGTTCATATTTGGATATCCTCAAGGACTTTTCAGCAACTAAATAACCAATACATCCAGTTTATTAAAAGCTCTTTCGGTCTGTCAAAATTACATAAAAACTAGATTCAGTGCAGCATTTGTGGCTATGGTTGTACACAATTCCACGTTCGATTAAAATCAGTTTTATGAATGAAATTAATTCGGTCAGGCTCTATTTCAAAGTTATCGAAATATTACTTCTATTGTTAAAGGGCCGAATAATAATTGCTTATTATTTTCCCAATTTGTACAGTTGAATTTAAATGTAAAATAGGAATCAAAAGCAAAAATTAAATTTCATAATTTCAGGGCACCTAATTACAATGTGTTTTTGGCAGTGGCTATTGTATTGAATGGACAATCAATTAAAGTCATGATCATTTAGACAATTTCAAACATTTGGGGCAAACAATGACACATGTGTAGCTTTTAAAGGGATTAACTGACCCTGCTTAATAATGGAAACGGCATTGTAGCAGGTTTCTAGCACGTATTGGGCCCCTCTCTTTTATTGAATAAAATTTTATTTAGTTTGATTAAAATTTAAATCTCAAATCTTAATTTTTGAAAAATAATTACATTTTGTATCCATACATATCACGTGAGGAGAGAAACAATTGTACACTCTTTTGTTTCGTAGGTACAGTCGCATGCAATATATTTTAATCGTCAGTGTCATTTTTTGACTAACTTTTTTGTATGATTTTAAACTCGTGCCATAATGTCGGAAATAATAAAAAGCGAGGGGCCGTTCACTCTGGAATTAGTGTAATTTAATCGGAAATTGCTTTTAATTATTTGGAAGTATTTAAAACTATCTTTGGATTGTTTGGAATTACTTGTGAATTACTCGAATTACATGTGAATTACTGGAATTCTTTTTGGAATTACTGTAATTGTTTTGGAATTGCTGGAATTCTTTTTGGAATTATCAGAATTACTTAGAGTACCATATTGATAACGCAGTGTATTTGAGCGCGTTGCGCGAACGCTGAACTATACAGGGTGCGCCAGAACTCGCGCCCCAGAGAAAAATGCCATATAAGGTAAGATACCAGGAACATAGAAAAAATGTTAAAAAAATTTTATCTATAAAATTTTCGAAGTTATGAGGATTTAAAGTTTGCACTTTGACTCTATTTATTTTTGTAGGGAAAATAATTTTACAAAGTTTTTTTGCTATAGGCTAATAAAAGAGGAAACAAGGAAACTGTGTCCTAAATTGTAACTCTGTTCAATGTTATTTGTGGCTTTCATTGGCAAAATTTGTGTACCTTTACTAAATAATTGTAAAAAAAACATATACAAGATCATCAGTATCATTAAATAGTCATTAAAAAATATCAAATGTCAAAAAATAAATGTCAAAATTCTTTGACAGATAAAATTTTTTAAACCTTTTATCCATGTTGCTGGTATCTTATCTTACATGAAATTTTTCTCTGGGGCGCGAGTTCTGGCGCACCTGTATAATACATTAAGTTAGAATTACCTGAATTAAGTTGGAACCACAGGAATAAATTTGGAAGTTTAGGAATTAATCTGAAAAAAAATGGAATTACGATAGATTATTGGCATTAGTGGATTTTTTTGGAATTACTGGAATTTCGGTGGAATTTTTTTGAAATTGGAATTAGTTGTAAACGAATTTTTCAAATTAACGGCACCTCGATAAGTCAATCGACGTTTAAACTACTTTTGACTTTTCTACGACAGTCGATCACAAAAGGTAAATTTGCAAAATCAATGTCAAAATGAATAATTTTTCTGTGACATTGACGATCAAAATAGGCATGCGACTGTATAATAAAATAGCTGTTCGAATTACATTTTTTTAAACTTACATTTTTTATTTTATGCAGGGTAATATAAAATATAGAACCAAGCGGTTTTTTTTAATTTGTTAAAAATTAATATAAAGTGGATCGTTGTAATTCTTAGATCATAACCTTCATGAGAAAAATTGTTTTATAGTGGGTTAAAACATTTAAAAAAAATACAATTATTGTAGAACTCAAAAACAAAACAAGAATTCGAATAATTTTATCTTGATAAAACATCACTTTTTATAGTAGTTTAAGTAAAAAACGTTTGGTTTCATACTTTTTATACACTGGTATATATTTACATTACCTTTTTGTAATTACATATTTAGCGACTTTGTAACTTCTTAAATTTCAGATTTAAATTATTTTATAAGAATAAGCAGGTTTTTATACTCAAATTGAGTGGCCTTCTTAACCAAAATTTCTAAATACTCCACTGTCTTTAATTGATCATTATAGTTTCTGCTGTAATTTGTTTATTATTTATTCACACCTCAATGTCCTTGAACTTATTTTTAAAAGCATTCCGTTTATTTAAAATAACATTTTTCAATTAAGTAATTTTTAAAACTTAAAACTTGGTATACAAGATTAAAAGATTATATTCGAAAGAAAGAAAATTACTATTTGAATACAATAAATCGAAAAAAATATATGATAGGAATTCCATATAAAAATAACAGTTATAATGGTTTGTAAGTTGCACCATTTGATGTATAACACTGTATAAGCGAAACAGCAATTTTTTTTTACAAATGTACAAATATTAATTTTTTATTGTAATCATAAAGATGCTAAAAGCAGTCAAATGAAACCAACGTGATCAATGGCTTATGTAGACCCTTTTACAGAGGTTTAAGCTTTATTTTTAGAAACATTTAAAAAAGATTGTATAAAAATAAGAATGCATTAATATTAACATTTTATACCTAATAAAAAAATCAGAAAAATCCATTTTGGATTTTGCATATACAGTATGTATTCAAAATATTTTGAAGGGTGATTCCTTAGGTTAAGATATGTACAAAGAAGTTTCTATCCAATTCCGGATTTTTTTAAACGTTACTGGAGTAATTAAAAAAGATAAAGTTTATAGGAACTTTTTTTCTTATTTGACCGAAAATTACGCCTTTTACTCGTAAAATCTTATTTTAACGTTTATTCAGGACACTCTGTAAGTGTTAATAAGTACATAATTTTCTTATTCATATCTTTTAGTTTTACTAAAAGTTTAGAGTGTGAAATTATAAACCTCGGTTCAAGCCTCGGCAATTTTTTTTTAAGTTTTACCACTGAAAATAACCCTGTGTAATTTTAGTTTGCCGTTTAATTCTAGTTATCTACATTAATCAAATTTACCGCCAACGACCACAGATAAAATAATTGCTGTTTAATGCCGATATATTGCTTTTAAATTTATCGACATCACTTTGCAAATGTGCCTGTTATGCAGCGCGTATAAATGTCAGAAATCCCCAAATGCATGTAGCAGTTTTGCGCTACATTTCATTCGAGTTTTCCAACTCTAATTATGTGAATTTCAGACAGGTATTTTAGCAATTTTTCGTAGTTTACCAAAAGGGAGAAAAAACATTTTTTTATTCCTTATACCAGAATTTCAGACTGATTCCAAATTGAAATAATAATCGACTAGGGCGCTTAACATTGTCGGAAATTTTCGAGATAGAATTTTTATTATAGAAGTTGGATAAAACTTAGTAAAACCAACAAGACCGGGATTATTTTTTCACTTTCTCCCTTTTCCATTTATTCCGAATTGCCTTCATTTCCTGGAAGTAATTTTTACATAAATTCTCATATCGCCTTTCGCTTTATATTTCACGCTACTATTTTCCGGATATTATTGTAATTTTCATAAAATTCCTGAAATAAATGACCTACATGACCGACGCGGCGTATGTGAGAAAATTTAATTAAGAGAGCAAGGTAGTCGCCGAGTTTTTGTCAATAATTCAACCGTTGATCGAAATTTCTTTATTTTAGGCAAACAAAAGGCGTAATCTTTTACTCAAGTGACGCACAACCCGTTTTACAATAAGTAAATAACCTGTACTAGATTTCGGTGGCCATCCTGTATGTTAGATTAGAAAGAGCTAATTAAACTAAAAAATTAGTATTCAAGTTAATTTTTCAATTTTTTGTTATTATACAACTATGTTAATAACTAAATTATTTAATTAATTTAAGCTAGTGTGTTTTTTTCGGTCATTTTCCTTTAGTTTTTTATTGTTTGATTCTACAATTACTCTACTTGACAAAGACTTTGTGTATAGTAATTGTCACTATAGCAACTTTTAGCTTTTTCTGTTCTTTCTTGAAAAATTTAATATTTTAACATTCCTATTTCAGAAAAAAATTTTTAGCAAAAACTTTTGTTGTGAACTGTATTTGGAAAAAAAAAATATTATTTATTATTTTCTTTCACACTTAATATTTTCTGTAATTTTTTAATACCACGAACTGTGTTTTAAAATTTTTCTAATAATGTTTTTTATTATTATTATTTTTAAATGAGTTAATTGTTTTCTTGTTTTTGTCTGATTTTTAACTTTAAATTGAATTTTTGAACGTTTGTTTTTTAAAATGTGTTTTGTGCAACCTACTTCAAACTATCTTGCAGTTGAGTTGGATATTTAGATATATTTAATATTTTATGTTAAAAATATTGAAAATATAATGTTTTTTTAATAGCTTTATTCTGCAGTTTTTTTTTGTTTTTTTTTTATTTTTGTCGTTGCCTTTGTGTTTTTTAATAACTGTAATTATAACTGTTTTGAAGTTGTTTTTTTATCTATAAAATTTTTATTCAATCCTTTATGTTAAAATTAAATTTTATCTACTCTTTTCTTCATGTTAAAATGAAATTTTATCCTCTAGATGGATAAAAAATACATCCATTGTTGTTACTTGCTAACGATCTTTGACATTAGATTTCATTGTTGAATTTTACTTTGACATTTATAAATATCGACCAAATTCACTACAAAATTAGTGAGGATTGAATAAAATTTTATATTGTACACGATGATAAAATTTTCATTATCGTTTCGAGCATATTAGCGTCTCGGCTGATGCCTCGATGTTAAATAAAATTAAGTTTTTTAGTAGATATATCTTGTTCTGATTTTTTTTACCACCGTTTTTGGTTTTTTTACATTTGTTTTTTGTATTGTCTGATTGGGGCTAATTACATCAATGTTTATACAAGATGTTTATAGAAATATGAATTTTTTTAGTTCACTCTATTTAAAAAAATTAAAAGGTCAAAATGCAACATAGAGATGTTTGGCTCGGCTGACGCCTCGACGCTAAATTGCTCTTAAAGATAAAATTCAATTTT